ATGTCACCACCGAAAAGCCTCCAGCGCCCCTTGACTCTGCCGAAGCAACACTCGATGTTCTTGCGCATGCTCTCCAACCGCCTGCTCCAATCGTGCTCCTCGACAATGTTGTGCGTCTTGATCGGTGGGATCAGAAGCGGGATCTGTGATACGGCAGACCGAAAATGACTATCGGGTGTTGGCTTTATGCGAACTTTGTCGACATAACGTGATCTGTCTCCAAGGACTGCGCAAAGGGGCAAGGCGTGCCAAGAAATAATTCCTTGACAACTACATAAATAGACGCTCCCATCCCAAGCCAGAAATAACAAACAGCTAGGATGGACGGGAATGCAAAACACGAAGTGGTACGGGTACACGTACTAAGTAGAGTACGGCAACGTTCTTGTCTGGCGGGTGTGAACTGATCCCGGAGGGGAATAATACACACGGGTTCCCCACCATGAACGGAGCAACAGAAAAAGCAAGGACCGAACGCGACGGGGTTTCGCCAGAGGTTTTCGCACTTACAAACATGACGCTTCTGTGGGCGGGGGTATATCAAAAATGTACGGGCCAGGCTAGTCACGCCCACCCACACCAACAACAAAAAAGTGGTCAACAACCAACAACCGAAACTAACCTTCGGGTACCCCCCGTCCACGATGATCCACGCCCCTGTGTACTCCGTCTCCGTGCCGTCGGCGTTGTAGAGAGAGGTCGAACTTGTAAAATAACTCTTCCACTGCTCCTCATCTCGTATTCGCCAGATGGACTTGTCCCGTGCGATGACCGTCTTGTCGTTCTCGGCTCCCGGGTAAGTCTTGGTTGCCGCGATGATGCGGCCAGAATGGTCGCACGTGCACTCCACCACCAGCGACGTGTAGCTCTCCTTGCCGGTGTGGGTGTTCTTAACGGAGAACGGGCAGCCCGGCCAACAGAAGTGGGTGCAGTCCGTAGATCACCTCGCCCCCGGGTAACCACACTTGCGGTAGATCTCCTCGACCTTCTTGAATTCATCCTCGCCCGGGAGTTTCACCCAAGTGTCCCAGAGGCCCTCGGAAAACTAATCGCAGAAATGGTGGAAAGAAGTCTCTGCGGTCGTGCGGCTCATCAGAGAGGAGGAAGCGACGTCCTGGAAGCAGCATCCCGACGCCAACACCTTCAAAGTACCCATCACCTATGAATGATACAGCAGTACAGGGGGCACACACAACGGCGGGCGGCGGCGGCGGGGGCGGCGGCGGCGGCGGGGGGTTGTAAGCTGTCATGCGAAGGGAATGTATACTCTTTTACCAAGCTGTGGCACGAATGTATGCTCTTGTATCATCGAGAGAGTTGCAGAGCTTTACGGGAGACGACAAGTGGGCAAGTACAGCAGTAAGGGTGTGTCGGTGTGTTGAGGATTTTTGCAGCAGAGTGCGTACCATTTTGACGGTATTGGCTTGCTGCTGCAGCTCCGCGCACGTGTGTTACCTCGAGGGCGTCACACACCTGCCATGCGAAGGAAATGCATACTCTTCTACCAAGCTGTGACTCGCTCATGGAACGAACACAACGTGCAATCCCTCGCACATCCATCGGCATTGTTGAATGTAGTACTGCTGCTTCCATCATACTTGCACGGGCTACTTTTCGAGAGTGTCGACACCGAGTGTGACACCTCGGCCAGCAGCGCCGTGCAGACGTAGTTGGAGAGGGAGTGCGCTTCTTTATCATCTACAGCATCTGGTCAAAAATTGCAAACTAGTGTCCTCTCTACGGACACGACGCGGTTCGTTTGTGCACGCAGCAGCAGAGTACGTACCCTTTTTGCGATCTTTGCTTACTGCTCAACTCCGCGCACGTGTGCTACTTCGAGGGCGTGCTACTTCGAGGGTGTAACACCCCGTGAGCTTAGGTACAAGTTCAGCAGTACTTGTAACAGTATACACATTGGTCTGTTCCTCTAGACCGAGGGCACCGATTGTCCAGCAGCGCTGACGTGCACTTGGAGTAAAATTTACAGCGGGCGGTGGTTGTGAACTTCTCGACCAAAATACAACAGCGCGCTGCAGCTTCTCACCGAGCAGCATACAGACTTCACTTCAACAGCAGCTTACATCAGCCTACACACCTTGAGTTCCACGGGTGGGCAATCCCTGCCCGCGACGTCTCTGACTGAAGACGGGAAGATGGAGGTGACCGTCTGCATGATGCTCTCGAACAACACGAAAGGGATGCGGAAGGTGCCGGCAAACTGCACAGCTTCTCGACATTCCGGGTCCAGCCCCTCCTCCGCAGCATTCAGCTCTCGCAGCTTCAGTACCCACTTCCCCCCGGTTGACCGCCAGTATTCCGGGCGAGGGTAGGAGCGCCGGATGTGCTTCTCGCGCTCCTCCTCCTCCTCCTCCTCCTCCACCCGCAGATCGCCGAACAAACCACCCGGTTCTTGGTCATCATGCTCACCATCGGAGTCGAACGTGTGCATAATGTTCTGCAAACTCGATGCTGCGGCAGCAGCCCCGGTCATTATGGACTCCTCATCCATGTTGGGCGTGGCCTTCTCGTCGGCGCGGCCTTCTCGTGAGTGTGTATTCTTGTGTTGTTGGCGGCGTATGTGCCGAAAACGCGGCGCTACTTGCCTTTTCCGCCGCCCAAACATTTTCGCGACCTGCCCCATCTCAAAATGTTTGTCAAACATTTTGTCAAACGAGCGACTTTTGCCCCATTTCAAAATCTTTAAGAATATTTCGCCGAAGATTTCCTCGCATAGAAAGTGAAACGAAATCTTTATCCGCAAACGTTTGAAAATTTAGACATTTTCCCAAAGATTTGGTGACCATAAACATGGGCCTAAACAGCTTTTTTTTTGCAAAACAACAAAACAAAAAGCGTACCCCTAACGGGCCACACTTTTTAACAAAAAAAAAACTATTAAAATACCGTTCCGAGCGCTCGCTACGCAGTACCTTCGTATGTCCGGACTGATCCAACACTCGACGCGGTCGATTCCCGTGGTCACAGGTAAACTTTCCCTACAAAGGTACACTCAAATAATCTTGCCCCGAGGGGTCAGCGAGTCAATGTACGTAGATCTACGCGCGTATATGTATGTGTATGTTGTCTGTTTTAATTGGATGGAATCCTGCATCGGTTTATTTTGGAGGAGTGTCGCTTATGTTTCAGTTCTGCTTGTTGTGTTGGTTTGCGTGTGTGTTTTAAAGTCTGCAACCGGGAGGAAAAATCGATCACCTTTTAACATCGCTGTCTTCATTAACAGTGCGCAACTTCGCACATCATCGCAGATAGATTACTGCAAGGTGTTGAGTCGCACCTGATCGATATTTCGGGTGGCTCAGTTGTGTGTGATGGGAGTGTAGAGCAGCTCGGCCATGACGGGCCGTAGGGGTAGGTAAAGTCGAACAGACGTGTGGAAAAACGTGTTGGAAAACGTGTTGTAGTTATCGGGGGCGTGCTTGAGCTCGTCATTCCATCACGGCATCAAGTGACGCATAGCGCTCAAACACCCAAAACGAATCTTCATGAATCTCCACCAATCTACCACACTCCCAAGGAAAACATAAAGAAACTTCTTGTTCCTCCGTAGTTCGTCACTGCAATACCCGCATATGTATACGCNAACCAAGAAAACGAAAATACAAAATCCCAACACCAATACAATACGTCCGAAAATAATCAATCGCATACCGAATCTTCCAAATCACCAAGAAAAGTCCCAAACACTAACTCTCCAAAACACTACCATCTGCACTTGACTCTCTCCATCTCTTGTTCAAACCGTACATATCCGCTCTCTCCCACTCCGCGGCAAAACACGATTTGATCCCAAAACACTTCTTTCACTGCAAATTATCACAAAGTCTCTGTGCAACGCAAAAGATTCCTTGCTGGTAGCCTTCGTCAAGAAATCTGCATGCTGAAACTCCGACGTCACATGCGTAATCGAAATCTCCTTCCTCTCTACCAGTTCCCTGATAAAGTGATGCCGTACATCGATGTGCTTCGAGTTTGAGTTCGTGATCGGGTTGTGCGCAATCTGAATCGCTCCCTGATTATCCTCGAAGACCGGAATGCACGGCATACCTGCATCTGGCAACATAAAACGCCAAACCTGCCTCAAGAAAAGCACTTCCTTCAAGACGTCGGCAATTGCCACATACTCTGCTTCCGTTGTGGAGAGCGTGACGCACTTCTGCGTCCTCGAAAACCAAGTCACACACCCACCCCCACACATCACTAGTCCTCCTGAGNGGAGAGCGCGCACTTCTTCTGCGTCCTCGAAAACCAAGTCACACACCCACCCCCACACATCACTAGTCCTCCTGAGACCGACCTACGGTCTGCTGCCTTGCTTGCATAGTCGGCATCCACAAACACCTGCATGCTCATGCCAGTGACCACTCCCCTCTCAAATGTAATCCCCATCCAACTCGTCCTACGCACGTACCCTAAAATACCAAGTGCTGCCTTCCAGTGCACCATCTTGG